ATATGCAGAGGAAACATTTAGGGCCGGATTTATCAAGATCCAATTTTGCGTGCAGTAATTTGTGATCGCAAACTGGAATTTTGCGCGAGGGGCGTAATCATGGTTTGTGGGTGATTTAACAAGAGTGATTGCATAACTCATGGCAGGTGCAAAACTGTTGGAGACACCCTATTTAAATGATGGTTTTGCGCGTTTTGTGGTTTGCGGCAAATTAGTTGGTACAAACTAGTGCATTAAGAAATTTTTATCTTACAGTGACACCCCCACCCCCTCCCAAAAAAAAAAATAAAATAAAAAAAAAAAAAATATATATATATATATATATATATATATATATATATATATATATATATATATATATATATATATATATATATATATATATATATATATATATATATATATATAAAAAAACTTTGGCAACCTTTATTCCCTAAGGTGGTATGTGGCTGAATTTCTACTTCACTGCCGTAAAAAAAACAAACAAAAAACAAAACAGGTGGTTTGTATTGGCCTGTAAAAAAAGGCACATACCAAATGGCTCACAAGAAGTGACTGTGGATGAGATTACTGCGCGTACGCATCCCCGCAGCATTGGCATGTTGCTCCACAGGCGCAGGGGGGAGGTCGGGGTTCTCCATTAGGGTGTCAGGGCGACATGGCAATTAGAACGTTGGACAGCACTTCTGAAAAACGAGATTGGGAGATCCCAGCTCTCGCTGCAACCGTACGCTGGAATGACCCAGATGCAAAAAAGTGCAACGTTGCAAGGAGTTTTGTGATATCTGGTATTGCGTGGGTCCTCCTTGTGGCTGGTTCCAAATCCATTCGGAGTTCTCCCAACAGCTCCAAAATGGCAATGCTGGATAAACGATATGTTTTGATGATCGTTTCCTCGTTCATTCCAAAAATAATCACACGGAGTGAAAAACTGCGTTCTCGGCGTCTCCTTGCTTCATTTTGATGTCTCCTTCTTGCGACAATAACCGCTGCCATGTGTGCGCAATTACGCATACAGACCATTTGCACCTTCTTTTGAAACGTGTTAAATATAGAGTCAGATACCGTTAGCAAAATTGCTTTCAGGTTTGATAAATCACTTTGCGAGTGCTAAATTAAAATATTTACATGTTCTCCTCCCACAAGACGCACTTTTGCGTGTGAACGCCCCATATTGCATATTCATTGCAGAAAAAGTACTAAATGGATAAGAGGCGCTATTTAGCACGTTTTAAAGACCAAATCCTTTTAGCACGCTGTTCATAGATCAGTTTGTACATTTTTTAGCGTGCGCAGTGAAATAGCTCACGTTTTTATACACGCAAACCTTTGATAGATCCGGCCCTTAGTCTTCCCTGATTGTTTTATTACCTGATTCCTGGTCTTTTTTTTTTAGCTGCTTTAGAAAAGTTTTTGGTTATAATCCAGCTATAACCCTAAGCTGGATGTCTGTTTAAATCAATCTGAGAGCGATAATCTCTTGTATAACTATAGGCCCAAAAAAGAATTTGAAATCAGAAAAAAAAAAAAAAACAAGTGAAAGAATCTCTAAAAATTCTCCTTTATCTTCTAAAGAACACATTCTTTAGAGAACAAAATAACATTTAACAATATTTGACATTTAACCATTTTAAGAATTTTTTCCCCCCATATTTTATCAACTACTTAAAGTATAAAAAGAAATAAATAAAAAAGGTGGATCAGAAATTTTCTTTTTTTTTATTCTACACAAGTAGCTTTCGGGGTCCAACATTTAGAAAATAATATCTACATAATGCCACATTGAAAAGAGATCAGCAGAATAATTAAATTAAACAGCATTTGGAAGCATTTAGCACTTGTAGCTGGGCATTCACTAAAAAAATCACTTATTACATTTATTTATCGCTGGAATGTTCCTTTAAAACCAATGTAAGTGTTAAAACTCAAACAAAACTCCATTTTTCTCTGGTTTGTTCAGTGCCGTCTTCTTCTGATTCAGATGCTGCTGTTGTTAGGATCCACCACCAGAGTAATCTTCTGACAAACTGCATTAGGAAAGAACCCAGAAACCAGACTTGTTTCTGGGTTTATTGATGCCATTTGGGTGTAATAAAGACAGTTCAGAAGATGATTACTTCGAGTTGCTTCACCTGCAGCCCAATCTAATGCTGCTTTGACTCTGAGTAGGTGGCTAAAGTCAGGTTACTCATTAGAGCGTTAAAAGAAAATGTGTTTTCCTTCACCTTTAGTCCAATTTATCACAAGCTGTAACTTGAACATGGTGGAGCTGATTTGTGTTGCCATAAAGCTGAAGTCCTTCTTCTCGGTGGGTCCTCTTGGAGATCTCACCTTCTCCTCGTCCCTTTATTGAAGTAAATATTTTCTTTGCCCATTCCACATAGAAAATGTCTGCTGTGAATCTTACCGCTCAGAATCCATGGAAGGTACAGGGTTTATTGTTCATGCCTGGTTCATTCTGTCGCCAAGACAACCACTCTGACTTAAGCTCTCATTATTGCCAAACCAGTGCATACGAAGTCTAGCTGTAGCCATGATGAACTTTAAAAAAAATTAAAAAAAAGAAGCTTATTTTGTATTTTCTAAATCTCACTTTATGTATATTTAGCCTCACCGGTGTTCCCGTTGATACAGGATCCCAACCCGTGCCAGTTGTGATTTTTCTAAAAATCAACTTTTTAAAAAGCAATCAAAAGAATATTATTTAGATATGTTGTTGTTGTTTTTTTCTTTTATATTTTCTAACTCAGCTTAAACTGTTTTAAAAACAGTTAACCACTTTTCAAATAACGTTCTTCTCTTTGATGAACACGATGACTTTCAGGAAAACTTCTTGTTTTCTATCTTGTCATACACAGACCTTGAGCTGAATGAGTGTGTGTGTGTGGGTGTGTGAAACTTTGTGGTGTTTTGATGATAGATTTTATTGCCAATTAATTTAAACCTTGTGTTACAGATCATATATATAAAAAATAACCACTGCCAGCTGTCATACTAAAGACACTATTACCCCACTTAGCCTGATTTTTGTGTTTTATAGTTCACATGAAAAAAAAAAAGTCCTTTGCAAATAAATAAATGATTCCATGTTAAATATTCCCTCCTGAACAGTTTTTCCGCCTTCAGTTGCCTATTTTTTCCAAAGTGTATGAGAGTCATATTTATTAGGGTTTTCCAGTAAAATGTCTGCAGAGGTGGTGCAGTGATGGCAGTTACGGTAATGCCTCCTCCTCTGCCTCGAAAGACCCCTCAGAAAAAAAGAAAGAAAGCAGGGATTAAAATATGCAATAAAGATGATATGCAAAAATACCACAAATCAATAGTTCACATCTGCTGACCTTTTTTTTTTTTTTTTTTTTTTTTTGCAGAAAAGGCCTCCATTAAAAGAATGATGTTATAAAGGGAGAACAGTGTATTTTGTACAAATATTTTAAAAGTATTAAAATAAGTGTGTTTTAATGTGTACATACAAAAGCTGAGTGAATGGTGAAAATGTGATGTTTTTATTTGTTTGTTTTTTTCCCTGAATAACTAAATGAATACAATCTTAATGTAAATATGGTGTCTGCTTCATTTATTTGTAACTTTCATGCCAAACGCTGGGTCATGTTTTTTCGGGTTTGTTTTGTTCTAAAGATTTTGATGTTTTTTTTAGTCTTTTTCTCTTAAGCTATAAACAAAGGGTTGCAATGATTCCACATCCGCCGTGTTTCACAGATGATTCCTGGCTCGTAAATATGGTCCTCATTAAGCCCTCACCTCCCAGAATAACCCCTGCCTGTTCTTTGAACCGAAGATATTACTACATTAGTTTAATTTCCCTTTACTTTTAGAAGTAAATCTCTTGAATTGCCCTTGTACTGAGCTACACTTTATCTGTGTTCGATGTTTATCTTGGATTAGTCATCTGAGGGAATTCATTAACCTTAATTGCACAGTTTATTCGGTAAGAGGGCAAGGTGCTATAAGGGTATGAAGACTGGTTGATGATATCTTGTTTATTTGGTATAATTTTAAAAAGACTTCTGGCCAAGTAATAGTGAGAACTGTCTGTCACACACAGCCTTACTCTTTCTTTGACAATCAAGTTAATTAAAGTAGTCGAACAATCAATTCCACAATTAATCAAAAATAACCACTCACCCTCAGGCCGAGAAGTTTTAGTATTAATCAAATACATTAATTAAACTTTTGTTTTGCACCTTCCTTAAGATTTGGCTTTTTACTCTTTGAGGTGTTGGACTGATTTTATCATCTGAAACGGCAATAAATGTTATAATTGCACTTTTTCCAGGTTTGATGTTCATCTTCTACTTTTTGCATGTTAAACATGCATTTTTGTTGAATGTGCTTAAATCTTGAATAATTATAAGAACACAACAGATAAACAGCTCAGTAAAGAAATGAACCTGTGCAGCATTATAATTCATGCAGTCTAATTTTAATGACATTGCATTTCATTTAGGTCACAGCCTTTTTTGTAAGCTTGATGCAGCCACTTGGAAACGATCTCAATGGTCTCTTTGGAATGTTTCTGCTTCGAACCATGGCTATGAAAGCCTAACAAGGCGATGGAAATAAGCAAAAACCTGCAAAAAAAGACACATTTCAAGAAAAATTAGGCCTTTGGTTTGTCTTTTGTTTTTGTTTTTTTATCTCAACTAATCAGTTTTGTTAAAACAAATTATTCTCTGGGCAAAAGAGAAAATAGAAAATAATTTTGGCACATTACCTATATCAGGCCAGCAAAAGGAGCAAGTTAAGCTCCACCTGAGGGACTCCAAGATGCAGCTCATGACTCACGCACATCCTAAACTTTCAAAGTAAGAATCACTCGTTTGTTTCATTTCCACAAATTAAAAATACTGGAAAGCTGTTGCCAGAAGGTGTGCTGTGTAATGTACTCTTTCCCAGCTTAAGGCATGCTGTAACCCAGTCTTGTTCATGACCAGACAGTCTCTGGTTATCAGGAATTATTTTTTTCTTTTTCTTTCCTTTCGGTTCTATAAAGTCAGTCATGAGCACCACCACACCTTTCACCTTTACCTGCAGCTGCTGCGGACTTTCTTTGTTTTAGTGTGCAGAAACTTGATATGAGATGACCTGAAGAAGAGATCACCACCATCATCCAGGTAAGCCTGTTAAAACTGTTTAACTAATCAGCCTTATAAACTATTAACATTAACTTGAAAGAGGAAGTTTCCCTGAGCTTTCTATACCACGTTTACAGGGAAGCTCTTCTGTCATTAAATCAGAAAAATTTAATGAGAACCTGGAAATCGATCATTAATAAAACTGAGACCGTCTTCTTAAGAATAGATAAAGACACAAAAAATCTAAGAACAAAGATAGTAAAGCTAATTCAACTCTACAAGTCTGAGAAGTGTAAGGAAGGAGGGCTTTGTAGCTGTATTTTAGATATAAAATCTGCTTTATTCCAAAAAGGGAAAAAAGGGAGGATGACTTTAGTTTTGAAACCTTCTGGATTCATCACAAGAAGTAACATTAAAGAAAGAGTTAAGACACCTTACTGTGAACTCATTCCCAGTTTCAACTGAAGGAAAAACATAATACAAGAAAACTGTTGCTGTTTCAGCAAAAGGATCACCCAGACAAGCAGGATCATACATGCTTCCTTGATCTTTAGTTGAAGATGCAGGGGAACATGGAGGTTGCAAATATGGGAGCTATTCTGGAGGTGGAAGTCCAACATTAAAAACAAACAAACAACAAAGTTAAAAGAGCCAGTAATATGTTTAATGCTCAAGCACAAACTGAAGCCCCATTTTCTGCTTAAGGGACAAAGAGATCATGGGGGAGTTTGTAGGCGGTTTTTGTTAATTTGCCTACAGGTTAAGTTTGAACTCTTGCTCCTGGTTGCTCTTTTTGTTTTGTTTTGTTTTTTGAAGTCTCTAACAAACTGGTTCCACTTTGTGAGTTTAAAATCTGAATACTAATTTCTTTCCCCATTTTATGATTTGAATCCAGTGTAGACCTCTCAACATTTCTAAAATATTGAAATAACGTCATTTAAAAATATGAACATTTGATATATATTGAACAGACAGACAAAATATTTTGTGAACACAGCAAGGGTTGATGTCCTTTAAAACATTGATATGAAGGAGATCTTAGGACACCACCGGTGGGAGCTTATTTTGGCTGGATTTTAAAGTCCAAAAAGTACATTATGAACTGACCTGAAGAAATTTACCGGTAGTTAACGGATAAATCTGAGCTGGTTGTGTGCTCTTTACTGATTTAAACGAGATGTGAAGAAGAGCAATTCTTTTGGCTTTGTACTAAATTCATGTTACTTCTTCAACATTATCAGTGCCTAGCTGGTTTCAGAGTTAGAAACTTGATTTATTGTGAATCAGAACGTTTCTATTAAAATGGTCTGGGCTAAATCTAGGGTTGTTTTTCTGTATCCCTGGCCGACCAAACAAATGAGGGCAGTTTTCCAAGTTTTTTTTAATGAAAACCATGAGTGCATGTCCAAAACCTTTACCAAAACCTTAAGACTATAAGGAGAGGGATGGAGTTGGAACTGGGGAGTAAGGGAGTCCAAATTGAGCTCAAAAGTCTAGTCAGAGGATTCTTCCACTTACCAAACAAATGTGTTACTACTAAACTGCAAATGCAGGGCTGTAGGGAAAAAACTGCACCAAAGAAAGTTAACAGCTTTAAAAGCCTTTAAAGACAATTTAAAAGACCCTAAATTCCAAAACGATTGTCATGAAAAAACAAAGACATTGAGGCATGTCAGTAGACTGTGATATTTTATTAAACTTAAACAACAAAACTTATTTTGTGAAAAAAGTGTTACAATTGCAAATAAAATATGTTTCCATCCCTAAAGCCAAAATGAATCCAATTGAGAATAGATTATCTCCTTGGCTGCCTTTGGGGATGGATGCTCTGCAACACGCTGCACGACAACTAATTTAAAAGTGCATCAACAAGGCTTTCAGAAGCACAAACTACTGGAATATGTCACAGCAACCTGTCAGGCAACATTAGGATGGTTGATGATGACAATAAATCACAAGTAAACAGCTAATTACATGAACAGCAAAGTTGTTTAAAAGGACATACAGTATGTAGTGCTGCATTTACATCTTCTACAAGACTTAAAGAGGGTACTCTGTCACTTAGCCTTGGCAGTCTTGGTCGTCGTACTAGGGGATTCAGTTTGGTTATGATCTGCTGTCGTAGGTCAGCCGCCCTTACGTTTAGTGGGCTTGTTGGTGTTGGGGCTGGGGACCCAATCTCTGTGTGTTGGGATGATGATATCTCCCTACTGACCTGTTGTCCTGACTCCTCCTTGCTGCAGCATGTCAGTTGTACCTCATCAATTTCTAGTTGTGATAGGAGCTGCCGTTTGCGGATGTTAGAACACTGAGTTAGTAGTTGTTTCTTTGTCAGTGTCGATGATGGTTGTTGGAGCTGCCATAATTCCCATAGTCTCTGCATGTAACCTCTCTCACTGGGGACGCTGTATAGTAGCATTTCATCAGTACCAAGTTTTCTGCTCTAGTCCATCTATGTCTTGTTCCAGTAGCCAATTTGTCATCAAGTTGCCCTGGTTCCCTAGCAACGCGGACCTTGTTAACCCGGGCGACGTCCGAGCCGGTATGGCTCTTGTATTTGCGGTATCACTCATGCCTGAGGTAGGCCACTAAGCACAAAGGACCTTGCCTAAGGGTCCACCTGGATGTCCATGCCGGGAATCGAACCCCGGTCACCTGTGCCGGAGTCGTATATATATATATATATATAAATATATAAATATATATAAATATATATATAAATATATATATAAATATATATATAAATATAAATATATATATATATATATATATATATATATATATATATATATATATATATATATATATATATATATATATATATATATATATATATATATATATATTATTGCAAGCAACGAAAAACAAAGCATCAACAAAAACTACCTGGAAGGCCAACCATTGTTTTCCACAGTTTTTAGAAAAAATGTAAGAGCAGTGCTTGCTCTGTTGTTTGTTGCAGGCTCCAGGTACATTATCTGTAAAAATTAAAGGCAAACATGTTAATATTGCACATATACTATATAACCACAAAAGGAAAACATGTCATTATGATGTACCTTTCTGGAGAATCCATCTATTGCTCCAAATATGACAATGTTATACCTTTAAAAGAGAATTTTACAACATTCTATTCAATTATGTTCATAGGAAACCCAATATCTTGGTGAAAAAAAGAAATGTTACCTTATAAGCTTATGATTTGTGTCTATATGTACTAAGGACAAAGGATGTGGTACAGAGTATGTCCTTCTGACGATGCACCCTCTGCAACATTCTTTGTAAAACTCCAGCTCCATCAACTCGGTGCCTTGAGTCTTTGATCCGTTCCCACTGAACTCTGTGACCCTCTGCTTGAAGGCAACCCTTTACCATCCGATATCCAGCATTAGGTAATCTGTTCTTTATTGATAATACAGCATTGTCAAGTTCGCTGTCAGATAAATTGCTGTAGGAAGATCTTGTTGATAACCCAAGCTCACACATGCGTCTGAAAATAGTAGATATGCTGACTCTGTGCAGGTTTGAAATACAAGACACTGGTAGGGCCATGTCTATTAAATGGACCAAAAGGTCTTCAGATACTTCTAATTTGGGTCGCCCTCATCCACTAGAAACTTCCATGGTAAGAACACAATGTTCTTCATGAGAAAGGGTGCCATGGATCTTTCTTTGAAGGGTTAAAATACAATCCACAACATCCATGGGTATATCAAGAACAGTTGATGCAGATGTTAAAATAAACACCTCCTGATTTACAATATATTGGAAATAATCCAAATCTGTCATGTTCGGATTAATGTGTCTAACCCACATGCAGAACACTCGGAGGCAGAAGAAAAGTTCAAAGATTTATTTACAATAAATGTACACAGTTTGATCAGATCCAAGAGTGGGCTTGACTGGTCACGAGTGGGTTCACTGCTGTTCAGGAGTGGAGCAGAGCTGCAGAGGGGGGGAATCTTGAGGGTCCAGAGGTTGTCGGCAGGCTGAGGGCAGAGGCGGAGGCAGAGCTTACAGAGTGCAGGCAGATCACAGATTGAGTTTCCTTCCAGTATTCTTCTGAGAACGAGCAGACAGATCACCGGCAGAGAAACTCTCCAGAGTTTCAGGTATTCAGGCAGGATCAACCTGGGAAGCAGAGAGGAGGAAACGGGATCAGGTTTGGTTCACAAAAGTCAGAGATCACAGACAGGCAGGTTGGCTCAGGCTTGCTAATGCTAAGTTCAGACCGGACGCAGCAAAAGCAGCAAAAGCAGCAAAATAGCGTCTGCTGCTTCCTTTTTGCTGCTTGTACCAGTTAGTTCTGACGCGCGGCTGAAGCAGCTTTGCTGCTCTGCCTGCGCGGTGCAAAAGTGGCTCTGATGCGCGTTGGGCGGAGCTACTCTATCCTTTCTCTGCCTTGCAGCTATATTTGCTGTGATCAGTGGGAATAAAGTAGTTTTAATATGTTTTTAAGTGCACCAGAATAATAAAAGCGAACATATTCTGCCGGCAGATGTATGCATTTTAAGTTAATTATGCGTTAATAAACTGTTTCAGAGGAGTGATCAGAGCGGTCTGTGTCATCAGCGCTGTGTCTCTCTCCCAGCCAGCTCCCAGATCAGCTTATCTGATTGGTTGACGCGGCGCGTCGCACAGCAAAAAATTAAAATTTTCCATCTCGAGCAGCAACGCGTTTGTGGCACGTCACGCGCGTCAGATGCTTAAACACACGCCCGAAGCGCTGCACCTGCTGCTCAAAATGCGCCGCGGGATCTTTTGCTGCGCCTTGACGCGCGTCAACCATTGACTTTGCATGTAAACTCGCTGCTTCTGTCGCGCCTGCTGCGTCCGGTGTGAACGCAGCATAACCGTTACTGGCAAACACTCTGGCACTGGAGTGAAGCCTTCCGTCTCTTTAAGTACAGATCTCCTGATGAGCAGATGGGAGACAGGTGGTGTGGTCGGCTCAGGCTCCAGGAGATCTCGTACGCCCTCTGGTGGTCCTCCATATTTGTGGCGGTAATCAGCGGTGTCAAGTAACGAAGTACAAATAC